TGTAAATTACTTTGGGCAGTATAGCCATTTTCACGATATTAATTCTTCCTAACCATGAACATGGAATGTTTCTCCATCTGTTTGTGTCCTCTCTGATTTCACTGAGCAGTGGTTTGTAGTTCTCCTTGAAGAGGTCCCTTACGTTCCTTGTGAGTTGTATTCCAAGGTATTTTATTCTTTTTGTAGCAATTGCGAATGGCAGTTCGCTCTTGATTTGGCTTTCTTTAAGTCTGTTATTGGTGTAGACGAATGCTTGTGATTTTTGCACATTGATTTTATATCCTGAGACTTTGCTGAAGTTGTTTATCAGTTTCAGGAGTTTTTGGGCTGAGGCGATGGGGTCTTCTAGGTATACTATCATGTCGTCTGCAAATAGAGACAATTTGGCTTCCACCTTTCCTATTTGAATACCCTTTATTTCTTTTTCTTGCCTGATTGCTCTGGCTAGAACTTCCAGTACTATATTGAATAGGAGTGGTGAGAGAGGGCATCCTTGTCTAGTACCAGATTTCAAAGGGAATGCTTCCAGTTTTTGCCCATTCAGTATGATATTGGCTGTTGGTTTGTCATAAATAGCTTTTATTACTTTGAGATACATTCCATCGATACCGAGTTTATTGAGGGTTTTTAGCATAAAGGGCTGTTGAATTTTGTCAAATGCCTTCTCTGCGTCAATTGAGATAATCATGTGGTTTTTGTTTTTGGTTCTGTTTATGTGGTGAATTACGTTGATAGACTTGCGTATGTTGAACCAGCCTTGCATCCCTGGGATGAATCCTACTTGATCATGATGAATAAGTTTTTTGATTTGCTGTTGCAATCGGCTTGCCAATATTTTATTGAAGATTTTTGCATCTATGTTCATCATGGATATTGGCCTGAAGTTTTCTTTTCTCGTTGGGTCTCTGCCGGGTTTTGGTATCAGGATGATGTTGGTCTCATAAAATGATTTGGGAAGGATTCCCTCTTTTTGGATTGTTTGAAATAGTTTTAGAAGGAATGGTACCAGCTCCTCCTTGTGTGTCTGGTAGAATTCGGCTGTGAACCCATCTGGACCTGGGCTTTTTTTGTGAGGTAGGCTCTTAATTGCTGCCTCAACTTCAGACCCTGTTATTGGTCTATTCATAGTTTCAGCTTCCTCCTGGTTTAGGCTTGGGAGGACACAGGAGTCCAGGAATTTATCCATTTCTTCCAGGTTTACTAGTTTATGTGCATAGAGTTGTTTGTAATATTCTCTGATGATGGTTTGAATTTCTGTGGAATCTGTGGTGATTTCCCCTTTATCATTTTTTATTGCATCTATTTGGTTGTTCTCTCTTTTCTTTTTAATCAATCTGGCTAGTGGTCTGTCTATTTTGTTGATCTTTTCAAAAAACCAGCTCTTGGATTTATTGATTTTTTGAAGGGTTTTTCGTGTCTCAATCTCCTTCAGCTCAGCTCTGATCTTAGTAATTTCTTGTCTTCTGCTGGGTTTTGAGTTTTTTTGATCTTGGTCCTCTAGCTCTTTCAATTTTGACGATAGGGTGTCAATTTTGGATCTCTCCATTCTCCTCATATGGGCACTTATTGCTATATACTTTCCTCTAGAGACTGCTTTAAATGTGTCCCAGAGGTTCTGGCACGTTGTGTCTTCATTCTCATTGGTTTCGAAGAACTTCTTTATTTCTGCCTTCATTTCGTTGTTTACCCAGTCAACATTCAAGAGCCAGTTGTTCAGTTTCCATGAAGCTGTGCGGTTCTGGGTCGGTTTCTGTATTCTGAGTTCTAACTTGATTGCACTATGGTCTGAGAGGCTGTTTGTTATGATTTCAGTTGTTTTGCATTTGTTGAGCAGTGCTTTACTTCCAATTATGTGGTCAATTTTAGAGTAGGTGTGATGTGGTGCTGAGAAGAATGTGTATTCTGTGGATTTGGGGTGGAGAGTTCTGTAAATGTCCACCAGGTTTGCTTGCTCCAGGTCTGAGTTCAAGCCCTGGGTATCCTTGTTGATTTTCTTTCTGGTTGATCTGTCTAGTATTGACAGTGGAGTGTTAAAGTCTCCCACTATTATTGTGTGGGAGTCTAAGTCCTTCTGTAAGTCATTAAGAACTTGCCTTATGTATCTGGGTGCTCCTGTGTTGGGTCCATATATGTTTAGGATCGTTAGCTCTTCTTGTTGTATCGATCCTTTTACCATTATGTAATGGCCTTCTTTGTCTCTTTTGATCTTTGTTGCTTTAAAGTCTATTTTATCAGAGATGAGAATTGCAACTCCTGCTTTTTTTTTGCTTTCCATTAGCTTGGTAAATCTTCCTCCATCCCTTTATTTTGAGCCTTTGTGTATCCTTGCATGTGAGATGGGTTTCCTGGATACAGCACACTGATGGGTTTTGGATTTTTATCCAATTTGCCAGTCTGTGTCTTTTGATTGGTGCATTTAGTCCATTTACATTTAGGGTTAATATTGTTATGTGTGAATTTGATACTGCCATTTTGATGCTAAGTGGCTGTTTTGCCTGTTAGTTGTTGTAGATTCTTCATTATGTTGAAGCTCTTTAGCATTCAGTGTGATTTTGGAATGGCTGGTACTGATTCATCCTTTCTATGTGTAGTGCCTCTTTTAGGAGCTCTTGTAAAGCAGGCCTGGTGGTGACAAAATCTCTGAGTACTTGCTTGTTCGCAAAGGATTTTATTCTTCCTTCACTTCTGAAGCTCAGTTTGGCTGGATATGAAATTCTGGGTTGAAAGTTCTTTTCTTTAAGAATGTTGAATATTGGCCCCCACTCTCTTCTGGCTTGTAGTGTTTCTGCCGAGAGATCTGCTGTGAGTCTGATGGGCTTCCCTTTGTGGGTGACCCGACCTTTCTCTCTGGCTGCCGTTAGTATTCTCTCCTTTATTTCAACCCTGTTGAATCTGACGATTATGTGCCTTGGGGTTGCTCTTCTTGCGGAATATCTTTGTGGTGTTCTCTGTATTTCCTGCAATTGAGTGTTGGCTTGTCTTGCTAGGTGGGGGAAATTTTCCTGGATGATGTCCTGAAGAGTATTTTTCAGCTGGGATTCATTCTCTTCGTCCCCTTCTGGTACACCTATCAAACGTAGGTTAGGTCTTTTCACATAGTCCCACATTTCTTGGAGACTTTGTTCATTCCTTTTTGCGCTTTTTTCTCTGATCTTGGTTTCTCGTTTTATTTCATTGAGTTGGTCTTCGACTTCAGATATTCTTTCTTCTGCTTGGTCAATTCGGCTATTGAAACTTGCGTTTGCTTCGCGAAGTTCTCGTATTGTGTTTTTCAGCTCCTTTAATTCATTCATATTCCTCTCTAAGGTATCCATTCTTGTTATCATTTCCTCGAATCTTTTTTCAAATCTTTTTTCAAGGTTCTTAGTTTCTTTGCATTGATTTAATACATGATCTTTTAGCTCACAAAAGTTTCTCATTATCCATCTTCTGAAGTCTAATTCCGTCATTTCATCACAGTCATTCTCCGTCCAGCTTTGTTCCCTTGCTGGTGAGGAGTCTTGGTCCTTTCTAGGAGACGATGTGTTCTGGTTTCGGGTGTTTTCCTCCTTTTTGCGCTGATTTCTTCCCATCTTTGTGGATTTGTCCGCTGGTCGTCTGCGTAGTTGCTGACTTTTCGTTTGGGTCTCTGAGTGGACACCCAGAATGTTGATGATGAAGTATTTCTGTTGCTTGGTTTTCCTTCTACCAGTCTAGCCCCTTCGCTGTACGACTGTTGAGGTCCGCTCCAGACCCTGCTTGTCTGGGGTGCACCTCTAGTAGCCGTGGCACAGCAAGGGATGCTACCAGTTTTTTTTTCTGCTCTCTTTGTCCCAGGATGATGCCTGCCTAATGACAGTCTTTTGGATATAGAGGGGTCAGGGAGCTGCTTGAGGAGACAGTTTGTACTTTATAGGGGTTTAATTGCTGAGCTGTGCACTCTGTTGTTCATTCAGGGCTGTTAGGCTGCTATGTTTGATTCTGCTGCAACACAGCTCATTAAACAACCCTTTTTTTTTTTCTCAAATGCTCTGTGTTGAGGGGTTTGGGCTTTATTTTTGGATGTCCGATCAGGTGTCCTGCCCAGCTCAAAGGCAGACTAGCCACTGTTTGGCTGCCGAGGCTCCGCCCAGCTGTTGTGTGATTCGCGCTGTTCCTGCGGGCTCTGCTGTGGTCTCCGCCACGCCCTGCGGCGGAGTCTCTTCGTTGTAGCGTGTTGCCTCAGCAACAGCAGGCTGCATCAGCAGTGGGCGTGTATCTCAGTAGGGACGGGTTGCCTCGGCAACGGCAGGCTGCGTCAGCAGTGGGCGTGTATCTCAGTAGGGACAGGTTGCCTCGGCAACGGCTGGCTGCCTCAGCAGTGGGCGTGTATCTCAGTTGGGGCGGGTAGCCTCGGCAACGGCTGGCTGCCTCAGCAGTGGGCGTGTATATCAGTTGGGGCAGGTTGCCTCAGTAGTGGTGGACGCCCCTCCCCCACAGAGCATCTCGGACCGTCTGCCCGGGATAGTTTGAAATCGCGGTTTTGTTCGTCCCACTGGGTATCCCAAACGATCTGTCCCTGCAATCCCCTGGGCTGGGCTACTGTGCAAGTCTCGTTCAGTCTCAAGTCCAGCCCTCTCAAGTCTCAGGTTGCCGGTTCAACAAGGCACCCGGACAAGCGCGCCCTGTGGGGATTGCTGGGTAGGGCCGGCCGCCGCCGCCCCGGCTGCCGGCTTCGCCAGGCAGACCTACTGCCTGGCGTCCCGTGTCTTTTTATACTTGGGAGTTTCCCCGTTCTGTGGGCAACAAAGATCAGTCTGGAAATGCAGCACTGACTCACCGTTTGCGAATTCAACGCGGGCTCCAATCCTGGGTTGTTCTCACAGCGCCATCTTGAGTCCCCTCCCGTATTTTTTCTTTTATACCACTTTGATCCCACATGCTATCTATTAGTTCACTTCGAGTGTTTTAATACAAAGTAAATGCTTACATATAATATCAGGTAAAACAATATTTTTTTTATTATGAAAAACCTTTAATGGTGGTGTCTGTACAGCATGGAGTATGAAAGGGAAAACAGCAGGTGCACACGCAGTGGGACAGGCCAGAGGACAGGCTGGGAGTGAATAAAGAGTTCACACCGCTTCCCTGCTTTCCTGGTGACTGGAGGCTATAGGCCACCTCCTCCTCAAGCCTCCTCCTCGGCCATGGTGTCCTGGTACTGCTGGTACTCGGACACCAGGTCGTCCATGTTGCTCTCAGCCTTGGTGAACTCCCATCTCGTTCATGCCTGTGCCCATGTATCAGTGCAGGAAGGCCTTGCACTGGAACATGGCGGTGAACTGCTCCGAGATGCGCTTGAACAGCTTCTGGATGGCTGTGCTGTTGCGGATGAAGGTGGCGGAAATTTTTAGCCCCCAGGGCGGGATACCACAGTCAGCCTTTTCACGTTGCTGGGGATCCACTCGACAAAGTAGCTGCTATTCTTATTTTGGACATTAAGCATTTGCTCGTCACCTCCTTCATGGACATGCAGTCCCTGAACACGGCGGCCACCATCAGGTGGCGGCCACCATCTGGTAGCGGCCATGGCGGGGGTCACAGGCCACCATCATGTTCTTGGCATCAAACATCTGCAGGGTAAGCTCGGGTACTGTCAGGGCCCAGTACTGCTGGCTGCCCTGGCTGGTCAGCGGGGCAAAGCCAGGCATGAAGTGCAGGTGGGAGAATGGGACCATGTTCATGGCCAGCTTGCACAGGTCAGCATTGAGCTGGCCTGGGAAGCTAAGGCAGGTGGTGACCCAACTCATGGTGGCAGACACCAGGTGGTTCAGGTCCCTGTAGGTGGGCATTGTCAGCTTGAGGGTTCTGAAACAAATGTCATAGAGAGCTTCATTATTGATGCAGTAGGTCTCATCTGTGTTCTCTACGAGCTGGTGGACTGAGAGGGTGGCATTGTAGGGCTCCACCAGAGTGTCTGACACCTTGGGGGAGGGCACCACACTGAACGTGCTCATGATTCTGTCTGGGCACTCCTCCCAGATCTTGCTGATAAGGAGGGTACCCATCTCAGACCCAGTCCCCCCACCCAAGGAGTGGGTCAGCTGGAAACCCTGCAGGCAGTCACAGCTCTCAGCTTCCTTCCACACAATGTCCAGCACCGAGTCCACCAGCTCTGCTCCTTCTGTGTCATGCCCCTTGGCCCAGTTGTTCCCAGCACCACTCTGACCGAAAACGAAGTTGTCTGGCCGGAAGATCTGCCGGAAGGGCCCAGAGTGCATGGAGCCCATGGTGCTGGGCTCCAGATCCACGAGGACTGCGCGGGGCACGTACTTGCTGCCGGTGGCCTCATTATAGTACACGTTGATGCGCTCCAGCTGCAGGTCACTGTCCCTGTGGTAGGTGCCCGTGGGATTGAATATTGTCCGGCTTCCCTGTTCTCTCTGGGCAATTGTCTCTTTGGTTCTCTCCCCAACTCCATGTTGTCTCTGTCTCCCAGCACCCCTTCAGGCCTTCCATGTGGGCTCCTAGACCCCACTACTGATCTTTACACCCCCATTTCACAACTGAGTCCAGTGACCAGCTATTCTCAGCCAGAGCAAGCCCTTGAATAGTCTACCAGGTCTTGCTGCTCCAGATGTTGTCTTGTGGGCATTCCCTGGCACCATTTACTCTCTGGATCCTATAAGCTCCAAAGTGCAGGAGGTCTTGGGGTACACCTGTGTGCCTGGCAACATCCAGCATTGTGTTTCTGCTCAATCTAGGTGTCCCATTGCTCCAACTGGCCTTCATAGGGCATCAAACCTCCAGCAAAGGAAGGCAACAACCCATGCCCTGACCACAGGATCTACGGGTTCAGATCTCACCAGGGATAGCCCAGACTTCAACTCTTGCTTTTCTGGGTACAGGGCCCCAATCCCTCAGTGCCCAGGGACTCGAAGTTTGGAATAATCCCAGCCCTGCCAAGCATTAAGGGTGCTAGTGGGGAGTGTTTGCCTGCTGTTCGTGAAACTCTGGTGTCCTGGGCATCTCTCCACTGGACATGGCAGCATCTCTGAGTTACAGATTGCAATGTGCTACCCTGCATGGTTGAACTGCTTCTGATGTCTGCAAGGCATCCTATCCCATGTGCCCTGTCCCCTCTTCAATGCCAGTGAGTCACAATGGCCTATGCTTATTCACAGAAATAATACCTAGGGAGCTCCCATGAGGCCCTTTTGTCCTGGTCCCTCACTCTGCATGGGTCTCTTGGGGAGGCAGCTGCTGAGTGGGTCAGTTCATGAGAATCTGCATTTATGAAGCCCTGGACTGTGCAGGCATTACCCTGGGGTGCAGACAGGTGAGAGGCCCAGCCCTTAGAGGAGCCATGGCAGGGAGCATGCCTTCCACCCTGGGGCCACCCAGACCTGGAGGAGCTGCAGGCCCAGCTCTCCTAAAGGTCCTCTGAAGTGGGTTGGACCGTCTCCCAGCTGGGCAGCTGTTGAGAAAGACACACGATGATTTGTGCACCCATTGCCTTCTCTGTGTCTCCATTGGTCCCTCTGTCTCTTCCTTTTCACATTTGTGCACATAAAATATACTGGCGTTTGTGTTCCAAAAAAAAAAAAAAAGCCAATACTTTTTCGATCTACTTCCCTCATTTAATCTATATTTGTCTAGGCCAGTGTTCTTGACCTAGGCTCATGTGGCTCCCAGGTAACATCTGGCATTGTCTGTTTTTCATCACAACTGGAGTGGGTAGTTACTATTGGTATCTAGTGGGTAGAAGACAGGAGCCAGGAATGCTGCTAAGCATTTTACAATATACAAGACAGCGCCCCCTTCAGGAAAAAGAAAGGTGAAAGAATTATCTGGCCACAAAGTCCAATACCAACTGTGAGAAACTCTGGTCTACCTTCTGAACTCTGGAACCATGCTACAGCCTTTCCTTAATAGGGTATAAAAAATGTTTCACATTTATAAACAACTGGAAAAGGAATAAGCCAGTTTCAAATTTACACCATTTATAGTGGTTTTTCTTTTGATATTAAAAAAATGCCTAAAGGATGGGGAAATCATTCAAACTTGTTTTACCTTTGAAGATACAATACAAAATTAATCCAATAGAAGTAAATAGGCATTGCTCCACATCCCCACTGCACATGAGCTGGTATTTCAGTGAACAAGGGCAGCACAAAAACAATGCCCATTGTATAGATAATCCATTCAACAATATTGTTAATTTCCATAAAGTAATTCCTTTCCCAGGATAGAAAAGAATAAAAAATTACCACATAGAGACCTCGCATCTATGGATAGTTATATATATGTACTCGGTAATAAAATTTTTTAGCTTTACAGCCATCTGGGGGATGTTTAGGACCAAGGAGTAATGTTATGCCATCCTGGATTGACTTCAGAGCCCCTGGGGATTAGATCAGTGTTGGAGATGGCCCAGGGTCCTCTGTTACCTGCTGTTGTGGGAGTCCGATGCTGATGCCTAAGGAAACCCTACAAATTGCTGGGTTTTCCCTGTGGAGTCCACTCCACAATGATAAAAATGCAAAGCATTATTATCAAAATCATAAATGTGCTTACAAAATCTATGTACTTACATGATACAACAAAGAAAATTTTCAGAGAGATGTTATATAAAAGAAAGACATATGATTTATAAAAATAATACTCATAAAAATATACAACGAAGTATAAAAGGCTTTACCTCCATACTGAGAAATGAAGGATCCATGCCATTTATCAACCAAAAAAGGACCCGAAGATAATTTATATACTTGGTTCTGATCTGAACTTGGCTCACTTATTATAAAAGTAGAAGATAAAGTAAAAATTATGCTATAAAAATTTCCAAAATTATATTAAAACTTGGACTTTTATTTAAAAGAAAAGCATTTCTGTTAAATTTCAAAGAAAGACCATTGGAAATAGAGCCTTGGGTCAGATAACTTCTTTATAAACATTTACATTTAAAATTATCAAGTTCAAAATCTAACCATTATGTTAGCAAAATCTTTAAAACTATGGAATAGAAAAGACAGAAAGTATACTCATAATGACCATGTGTAGACAGGCAGTTCTTTAGGGAACAGTAAAAGTGGAGCATCTCTTTTATAGATATATCAAACAGGCAGTGACCTTACCTAAAATTATATGACTTCTACATTTTGAAACATTTATGATTGGTATTACTTTTTTTATAAGTTTACAAAACATTTAATTAACCATTTTTTAAATATATTTTTAAGTTCTGGGATACATGGGCAGATCTTGCAGGATTGTTACATAGGTATACACATGCCATGACGGTTTGCTGCATCCATCCCCCATCACCTATATTAAATATTTCTCCTAATGTTATCCCTCCCCAATCCTCCCACCCGCTGCTATCCCTCCCTTAACCCCCCTTCCCCCTAATAGGACCTAGTGTTTGATGTTCCCCTCCCTGTGTCCATGTGTTCTCATTGTTCAACACCCACTTATGAGTGAGAACATGTGGTGTTTGGTTTTCAGTTTGCTGAGAATGATGGATTCCAGATTCATCCATTTCCCTGCAAAGGACATGAACTTATCATTTTTATGGCTGCATAATATTCCATGGTGTATATGTGCCATATTTTCTTTATCTAGTCTATCATTCATGGGCATTTGGGTTGGTTCCAAGTTTTTGCTATTGTAAACAGTGCCACAATAAACATACATGTGCATATGTTTTTATAATAGAAAAATTTATAATCTTTGGGTATATACCCAGTAATGGGATTACTGGGTCAAATAGTATTTCTATTTCTAGATCCTTGAGGAATCGCCACACTGTCTTCTACAATGGTTAAACTAATTTACACTCCCACTGACAGTGTAAAAATGTTCCCATTTCTCCACATCCTCTCCAGCATATTTTGTCTCCTGATGTCTCAATGATTGCCATTCTAATTGGTGTGAGATGGTATCTCAATGTGGTTTTGATTTGCATTTCTCTAATGACCAGTGATGATGAACATTTTTTATATGTTTGTTGACTGCATAAATGTCTTCTTTTGAAAACTGCCTGTTCATATCCTTTGCCCACTTTCTGATGGGGTTGTTTGTTTTCTCTTGCCAATTTGTTTTAATTCTTTGTAGATTTTGGATATTAGCCCTTTGTCAGATGGGCAGCTTGCAAATATTTTTTCCCATTCTGTTTGCTGCCAGTTCACTCTAATGATTGTTTCTTTGGCTGTGCAGAAGCTCTTAAGTTTAATTAGATCCCATTTTGTTGCCATTGCTTTTGGTGTTTTAGTCATGAAGTCCAGGCCTTTCCTATGTCCTGAATGGTTTTGCCTAGGTTTTCTTCTAGGCTCTTTGTGGTGTTAGGTCTTATATTTAAATCTTTAATTCATCCATTTAAATCTTTAATCCACCTTTTTTGTATAAGGTGTAAGAAAGTGGTCCAGTTTCTGATTTCTGCACATGGCCAGCCAGTTTTCTCAACACCATTTATTAAATAGGGAATCCTTTTCTCATTGCTTGTCTTTGTCAGGTTTGTCAAATATCAGATTGTTGTAGATGTGTGACAGTATTTACGAGGACTCTGTTCTGTTCCATTGGTCTATATCTCTGTTTTGGTACCAGTACCATGCTGTTTTGATTACTGTAGCCTTGAAGTATAGTTTGAAGTCAGGTAGTGTGATGCCTCCAGCTTTGTTCTTGTTTAGAATTTTCTTGGCTGTGTGGGCTCTTTTTTGGTTCCAAATGAAGTTTAAGGTCAATAGTAGCTTGATGGGTATAGCATTGAATCTATAAATTACTTTGGGCAGTATGGCCATTTTCATGATATTGATTCTTACTAACCATAAGCATGAAATGTTTTTCCATCTGTTTGTGTCTGCTTTTATTTTCTTGAGCAGTGGTTTGTAGTTACCCTTTATGAGGTTCTTCACGTCTCTCATTAGTTGTATTCCTAGTTAATTTATTCTCTTTGTAGCAATTGTGAATTAAAGTTCACTCATGATTTGGCTTTCTGTTATTTGTGTACAGGAATGCTTGTGATTTTTGCACATTGGTTTTGTATCCTTAGACTGCTGAATTGCTTATTATCTTAAGGAGATTTTGGGCTGAGAAAATGGGGTCTTCTAAATATACAATCACGTCGTCTGCAAATAGAGATAATTTGACTTCCTCTTTTCCTAACTGAATACCCTCTCTTTCTTTTTCTTGCCTGATTGCTTTGGCCATAACTTCTAGTACTATGTTGAATAGGAGTGATGAGAGAGGGCACTTTTGTCTAGTGCCAGTTTTCAAAGAGAGTGCTTCCAGTTTTTGCCCATTCAGTATGATATTGGCTGTGGGTTTGTCATAAATATCTTTTATTCTTTTGAGATAAATTCCATTGATACCTAGTTTATTGAGAGTTTTTAGCATAAAAAAGCTGTTGAATTTTGTCAAAGGCCTTCTCTGCATGTATTGAGATAATCATGTGGCTTTTGTCTTTGGT